TATATATATATATATATATATATATATATATATATATATATATAATGTATACCTGTAATATACATACATAATAACTTAAAAGACTAAAATAAAAAAATTCACTTTCAAGTAGATCTGAGATACTATTGGGACAAGTAAAAACTCTCGATTGCCGTTGATGGATGATATGCGAATGAGAAAATTCCAAGTCTCTTATCGACGAGACAACGACCAACTTTCGTATATCCATGAAACATTGAATTGCAGTTGGAGATCCTTCTCCATTTGATTCACTCATCAAAGATGGGAAACATTGTCAAATGTTTTGGAACGACCGGTAGATCGAACTCGAAGCATTCGCAGATGCCGCATGCATCATCGTGGAACGTAATCTCGACGCAGGCCGTGGTATGTCGATGTAATTAAAAATGGATCGATGATAACAATTATGGCGTAGTAAAACATGGAAAACGTATCATCACTCGAGAGTGTTTTTTCTGTGATTTTCGAAAGTAGGAAAAGACGGAAGAAAGAAGGAAAGAGGGAGAACGAGGCAGAAGAATGAGGGGAAAGAAGAAGGAGAAGAGAGCGCAAGAGGACGTCAGTTTCTATTGGGTCGAAAGTCTGTCAGTACGAACGCTGCTCGACCATGATACAAATCCCCGGTGTTGGTAGGGATGGCATTTGGTCGACTGCTAGGGAGGGCTGCTAGACAGACCAACAGCAGACGGGAGTAACGATTGCCACCACCCTTGCTACGAGTCGAGCTAGTCACCCCTTCCGTGTCCTTTCTCCACTTCCCACACGTCCATGTTCTGAACCTACCCGTCCAGCGAACCGGCCGCTTACTAACCAAACTGAAAATATCCCCCGTCCCGTTGGTCAATCGCCTTTCCTATCCCCTACTGTTCTTTTCTTCTTTCTTTTCCTTTTTCTTTTTCTTTTGTCCGACAAACGTGCTTGTCTTTCCGATCGTTACACGATCGTTACATTATGGTTATTCTCTTTTCGAGGATCCACCGCCGACGATGCAGCGATGCAGCGAGACATTTTTCACAGATCGTTTGGAGAAGGTTTGTCGCAACTGTTGTTAAAGGAGAAGGCTGAATAAAGGAGCCAAAGCTGCGCATCATGTATCTGGTTCGCATGCGCGGAAGCTCTTTTTCAGAGCATCGATACCGGCGACGGTCTATAAATAAATAACCGGCGGTGATAAGACTGGAAGCACAGGGTCGCGTGCATCCACATTATTTTTGCTTTCTCCGGCTGTTCAGTCTCGGTTCGATCCGTCGTGGACGAAAATAGAAGAAAGGCTATATATAAATTTAGATAAATTCTCAATGATGCTGGTCGTAAGTAGGATGACGTGGTATTCTTTTTGTTGCATCCTTGCTATATCTGTTATATATATATATATACTATAGTACGGGAAAAGACGGAATAATGGGTCGTTGACTTGGATTGTTGTGCAAATTGTTGAAAATGAAATGCAGTAGTTTGGTCGATGCGATGGATGGATGGATGGATGGATGGATAAATGGATAAATGGATCTCTGCGTGGAGTATTGATCCGTGACCCGCCCGTTCCCTCTATCGACGTAACCAAATTCTCGTTGTGCCTACCACAACTATAATTTAGAATCAACTTGTACTTATCTGTATCGTACGTATGCATAGGCGCACAGTAACGAAACTCGTTCATGGAAAGTGAAGAAGCGTATATATAGTGGCGGATGAAGAAGTAGTACGTCTATAGAAACTTGCACGAACGTAGATGCAACGAAATCGGAAATGGCATTGGAAGAGGAGGGGAGATGTGACGCGCGACGTGAGGGACAAGTGAACATTTTCTTCTATACGTGTATACGTGCATACATGGACAAGTACAAGGGTATATAGGTAGTTGAATCAATAATGTGAACGACTGGTGGAAGGACGCAAGATACGCTCTTCTACTGTAGTAGAAGATACGTATACGTATTTCAGCGTGAAGGAAATCGCGAGCTTTCGCGTCGTCGCTAGTTTTCTAGCGAATCTTTAGCATTTACCGTTCTTATTATA